GGATCGTTAAGGGGTGTAACCTTCACTTCGTGAACGGTTTACAAGTTCCTAAAACTTGTTGGCGACTCTTTTGCTCTATCTTATTTCTCTTTGGACGCCACCGTACTTTAGTGTATGATCACAGTGGGGTTCAAGCTAGGGGTAATGCTTGAAATATTCCCTACACTTGGTTAAATCTTTGGACGTACGAGCGTAGTCCTTTATTTTTTCCTTGCACAATTGTTGCCAAGTTGAGACTTATTTTTCTTGGTGGAATGTTGTAAGAGAAATTCCCTACAAACAACAAACTGAGGGTGGTAAAACAATTAATGCACCCGGCCGGAAGGCTATTGAACCAATCCTGCGCCACTCCTTTTAAGGTGGCTGGGAAGCATGCACCATCTGGCATCATCTACACTTTGCAAGTACAACTAGGTTGACCGTGCCATCATAAGCTCCCACGAGTACACTCTTCACCTTCAGCGACTGAGGACCAGTTAAAATATCTTGAGAAAATGGAGGCGGCTTATCTCCAAGAGTCAGCAACCGCATCTACCAATCAACTGGCTGAGGCTGCACAGGTTGTCCGGGCAGATAAGGAGTTTGGCTGAACGTCTGACCGAACAACCCATATTGTCCTAAGACTTGGGGACTCGGCTGCAGAATGTCGTTAAGACCCTGAGGAGGCGTATACTGGGGCGGTTGCACTGGAATGGGGGTTTGAGTCCGTACAGCTTGACTCCTGCTGGAGATGGCTGAATTGCTATGATGGGAAAAAGAATGATTGGAGAAATCATCCGGCATTGTTGGAGTTGAGGTCGTGTCCGAGTAAGCGGCACGTTCCCGCTGCTTATGCCGGAGATAATCCCTGGTATCCTTCCACCGTCTAGATGGCTCAGGCTCTTCTCTTCAAGGCTGCCTACTCCTACCCCAGCCGACTGGGTTTTAGCCAATAGATAAGAGAATTTTTTCTATGGCACCCTTGGAGACCTTCTAGCCAGCCGGCGAAGTGGGGTGTTCCCAGCGTCTGTTGCATTAGTCGCTTTGTTTTGAGCTTTCTTTGGATCCCTCTCCCCCTCCAACCTTGGTGGCTGCCTAGAGGTAGAGGCTCTATTGCTCTCAAACTCCTTCCGGAACTGGTTGAGCGCGGCCTTCAGAGAGGTTGCGGTAACAAGAGGGTCATCGGCCTCTTGAAATGAGGTGGTTAGCGGATCGCTGGTAAGGATTGTAGGGATTATGTCCTCTACATGGCCGTCCTCGCCTGGACGAGGTCCAGTATTAGGTGTCTGACCGTCTATTGCCATAACGGACGAATATCCCCACTGACGGCGCCAAATGTTTTGGGGTTTTTTGTGATGTCCTAGGATACTAGTCGCGCTCTTCAGGCAATGAGACACGGACACCTACAAAATTAACAAAAATTCCTTTACTGGAATATTCTCCTTCGACGATCAAGTTAGAGAACAGGAAACAGAAAGTTTAGAGAGAGAAAGTAGAGAGAAGTTGGAGCTCTTTAATGCTCTTTTTTAAGGTTATGTCATCATCCACCCCTCCCATCAAAAATGATTGGGGTATATATAGGGGTGGGAGCGTGTGCCCCTTTAGGGTTTGTACCCTAAAATTCCGTGACATGATTGGCTGCGCAATCAGAGAGTGCCACATGTCGCATAGGGGCGCCACTTTGCGGCTTTCAATGACTTTCCTCAGGATTTGGGCCCTGATTAATAAGGGCCCTTTCTCTTGCTGATTTCAGGTGCTCTTTAGGGCATCTAACACGCGTCATCTTCCCATAGGGACACGTGTCGCCCTTTGACTGGGCCACGTGTTACTACGGGATTGGACCACGTTTTTTGGGTTATTTTTACCCTAAACACCTCCCAATTAAATTCATCATCACTCTTATTTCCCTACCACCATCACTAAGCTACCACTACCACCACTACCACCACCACCACCTTACCCAGAATTTTCCTCTCTTTCTTCACCGATCTCTCCTTAATTCGGCCGCAACACCTCGCCTGAAGTCACACCGATGCCGGCTGTCTCCTCACTTGTGGGTTTTGGGTTCAAAATCTGGGTTGTGGATTTTGGGTTCGTGAATTCCAGTTGCTAGGTGGTGGATCTGGGTTCGTAGGTTATGAGTTTCGGGGTTGTGGGTGGTGGATCTAGGTTCGTGGGTTGTGCTTTTTGGGGTTGTTGGTGGTGGGTTTTGGGGTTGTGGGCCTGGGTTTGTGGGTAGTGGGTTTTAGGGTGGGTGGTGGTGGGTTGTAGTGGGTTCGGCGGTTGTGGGTCTGGGTTTCAAGGTGTGGGTCTGGGTTCGTGGGTCTGGGTTCGTGGGTTGTGGGTTTCGGGGTGGGTGGTGGTGGGTTGTAGTGGGTTTGCTGGGTTCGTTGATCGTGGGTTCACTAGGTTCATTGGTGGTGCTGGGCTCGTTGGTGGTGCGCTGGGTTGTGGTGTTTTCGTGGTTGTTGTTTTGCTAGGTGGTGGTGGTTTCGTGGTTGTGGTGCTTGGTGTTTATTTAGTATTTATTTTTTTTATTTGATTAATACTAAGCACATTTCCTTATTTTTCAATAATTACACTTAAGAAATTTTGCCTAAGAGTCCACAAACTCCATCTTTGTTGCGAGTAACTCGTAACAGAGGGAGTACAAAGTATTATTGTTTATTTCTATACTTAGGGTTGTTTTTTTTCTTTTTTTAAAAAAACAAATAGAATTTTGAATCAGAATTTGTTATTGTAGCTGGTTGCACAATAGCACTATTTTAGTACATCATTGATTTTTTTTCATCACAAGACATATTGGCTTTAAGACTTTATATTATGTGATTTAAATCACAAGGCCTGAGCTTCGACTCTCTATGTAGTGAAACACACTCCTCATTCACTTAAATACATACTCTTGCAAATCAATACAATAACCTGAATTATTGGTTTCATTGGTGCCTACTTAGATCTTGCTTACTTCCCCTTAAATATATATTGAACAAATTAGTATTATGTGCACCATGGTGCACCTAGAAATAGGTGCACCACGTCTATACTTTTGAACATTTGGTAAAAAAAGGAAAATTTGTCAAAAATAAGCCAACCTTTGCCCAGTTTGCTTAAAATAAGTCAACTTTTTAATTAACTTGGAAGAAGTTAACCTTTACTTAGTGTCTAATTTTGACGAGTCAGTTGAATTTTTAACCTACAGCTACAGGTAGGATGCTGACTCATAGGGTATAGTCGTATCCCCTAATCAAAAGTATTACCTAAGTCCTCTAACTAATGCAAATAGGGAAGTAGGGTCGAATCCACAGAGAAACGAGTCTTTTTCTTCCTAATTAATTTATATAATCTAGATTATAAAGTAACCACAATATAATGGTCGAAGGAAACTAAACTACGAAGATTAAGAATAAGGAGAAAACAATATATAAAAGGATCTAGGGTATAGGTTCACCAATAAATAATATTCCAGGGTAAAACATAATAATCAATCATCAATGCATATATTAATCAGATCATAAAGGACTTTCGCTACGTATTACAATCACGCAATTAATTTACCGGTATTAAATCTCATCTCTCGAATCTTGACTTAACCATTTATAAATTAACCTGCCTATTGAAACTAGACCTAAACATCAATTCTCATCTGTCGAATCTCGAACCAATATTGTTAAACTCATGCATAAAAGATCTGCGCAAATCTAGTCACAGAGCATTAAATCAATCAATAGGAAATTAATCTAGCATTAACAATTAACAACAATAAATTACCCCTTCATATTATTTATGGATCCCCATAAACCCTAGAAATAAAACTACTTACACATAATTAAATCTAAACTAATCAAAGCAATAAAACAAGACATGATCAAAGGAATAAAATAAACAACTAAGATTAAGAGAAGAGAAATCGTTACCAAAGAAATCTGGAATTAAGAATAGAGTTAAGAACAAAGTATATGAGAGAGAAACTAATCTAAAAGCTAAGTAGAGAGAGAAAATCTAAAAAAGAAGGTAAAAGAAGATACTAAACTTGCTCAATGGAAAAAATATTTATACTAAGCAAGAATCCTAAACTAAAACAAACTTAAACGTTGAATAATTAACATCTAATAATAACACGCGCCCGATCGGGCGAGGCACCGCCCGATCGGGCCCGCCTTTTTCTCCGCGTACTCTTCTAAACAGCCGCGTTCGATCGAGCTAGCATCTCACCTGATCGGGCACGCCTTTGGCCACGCACCAGCACACTCTCGCATGCCACGCCCGATCGAGCTAAACTTGCCCGATCGGGCCCTTGCTTCACTCAAGGCTTGGAACTTCGATTGGGCTTATCTCTTCGGCCCAATCCGGATATCCACTTAGGGTCTTGATCATTCGGTCCAAATACCTCGGTATCCCGATTACCGAGCCCTTAATCACCGGCTTGATGACTCTAATCGGCCTTGGGCTTCAAAGATGGTCGTGTCCTCCTAACGCTCGTAGTTGCTTCGTGAAAAACCCGGAAAACGCTCCAAGTGTGCAATTTCCTACAAAACTCAAGCAAAACTACAAAAACACTAGAAAACACAAATTAGTAATAAAAGTGGCCCTAAAGAGCCAAAAAAACACTACTAATTATTACCAAGGGACGGGGGTAAAATACTATATAAAATAGACATATCACTGACGTGGGACCATTACAATGCTTTCCCTTTTTGTATTAGCCTGTTCCCCCCCCCCCCTTATATTCTTCTTTCTTTGCTCCATTAAATCACAAAGCTTTCCCCCAAATTGAAACCCTAGTTTTCAAATTTTAATTTATCTGTGAAAGAAAGATGCGGCAACATTCAGCGGGTTCTTCTTCGAACTCAAAGAGAGGTTCATAAACTGTAATTAAATATAGTTGTGGGAGGAATCCAGTGGTGAGGACAATGAAGAAAGGGGTAAATGTGGGAAGGAATTTCTATGGCTGCCCATTTTGGTCTGTAAGTATTTCAACCTTTTTTGTTCCTTGATTTTTAGGGTTAATGTAGCTTAGCAAATTGTTGTTGGTGTTGTAGGATACTCAATGTGTAATGTTCAGGTGGATTTCAGACATTAATGATGGGGAATATGTTCATTAGAGGATTCTTGAGAGAGACAACCATTGTTGAATAGGAGCATGGAAAAAAAATGATGGAAGAGAAGATTAAGAAATTACAAGTGAATAAGGAACATTTTGAGGAAGATCTTCAAGAACTAAAGACTAAACTTGGCCAAATTATGATAGAACTGTTGAAGTGCTCAAGGAATGAGAACAAATTTTCATGGCACTTCTGTTTTCTTGGATTTTCTTTGCTTTCCTTCTGTTCAATTTAAAGTAGGTACCAATATGTGTGACAAGAGGACCAAGTTGTAGTCACTTGTATAAAGTATGCTTTGTAATGTAACCGCCTTTTGTTAATGAATAAAAGAGTTGGGTTTTCATACAATACACTTTCATAATTTGCAAATAAACTGCTTTCCCATTACACTGATCATTCAACATATAAGTGTTCAAAGGATAATTGACGACATCAGTTAATGTAAAATAATACATTCATCCTAAAAGCATAAGTTTCAAATGATAACAAAATAAATGTTCTCAAAATACATAATCAGGCTTGTAATCTAAGATGCACTTAACAAGCATAGCACCGGACAAGCGTTGCTATTGAGTGGCCTCATGTAGTGTTGAAGTCTTACTGGATTATGTACCTAGCAGGTCAGGTTTAGTCATCCTTCTTTGCCTCTTGTTTCCCCCTGATGGCTAAAAAACATAAGTAAAGAAAGTTAAGCCAAAATATATTGAACCTAAACTGAATAATAGAATATTCTTTGAATTGGACACTTACATTTGTCAAAATATTGCCATTTGATGCAAAGTAAACTCTAACACTAGTAAGCACCTTTTCTTTCCCTATTCCCCTTCTAACAACACTCTACCACCTGCACCACCCCTACCACCAGCACCACCCTTACCACCAGTAACACCTCTACCACCTGCACCACCTCTACCACCAGTAATACCTCTACCACCAGTACCACCTCTACCACCAGTAATACCTCTACCACCAGTACCACCTCTACCACCAGTAATACCTCTACCACCAGTACCACCTCTACCACCTGCACCACCTCTACTAGCTGCACCACCTCTACCACCAGTTTCACCTGCCCTACTTATGATCATTCTTCCTTCTCTACCTAGATGACTAGGAGTTGCAACAGAAATGTGGTGCTGGTTTAGCAGCTAATGATGTAGTGGTTGTGACATTGACAATGGGAGTAGCATCAGAAGTTGTTGCAGGTTCAGACCTTGGTGTTATTCTAGGTCTACCCTTAGGCTTCTTAGGTTGTTGTTCCCTCACATCAGGTGTATGTTTATTTGGGAATCTTCTCTTATTATGGCCCTTAACTAAACAGATAGAACAGGTCATTTCCATACACACTCTACTTAGTGTCCTTGGATTTTTAGGAAGTTCATATGGGTCTTTAATTTTATTCTTCCTTGGCCGACCGAGGCCAATTTAAATTGGAGGGGTGTCTACATTGCACACAACCCTAGGCCAGTGCCTCTCTCCCTCACAAGGTGGAATAGAGCTTGCATAAGCCTTTAAGTAAACCTCATTTTGTAGAAATCACTCACAAAAGACTCAGCATCTCTGTTTTTTGGAAAAAGATGCAAGTAATAGCATGACAACAAGGGATTCCCATCATGTCTAACCTTCTACATGTATAACTCTTTGCCGCTAGATTAACTACCAACTGATCTAAGAATTACTTAACATTGAAAAGGGTATCACTAGATGGCATAATATCACAATATGTTGCCTTCAACTTCTCTTTTTAATTCTAACCTAGACTGTATTCTAGGACATAGGACAGAATATGAGTTTTGCATTTCTTTCCTTTTTAGCACTAGTCTTTGCATCAAGGCTACTCTAATATCCTCAAGCATATGAATAAGATGCTTAGTCCTAGCATTGACAATGTAACCGTTAAATGTTTCTGCCATGTTGTTGGTAATGGCATCAGTTCTAATTGAGTTCTCTAGGAATTCCCTGCAAAAGAGTTTAGGATTGTACCCTTTGAATGCAGTAGCTGCATCTGCATTAATTTCAGCAAGCTCCTCTATTCTTTGATTGTATTCAGCAAGGTTATAAGCTTTGGCTATCTTCCCAAAAAAGTAGTTCATCTCATCTCCTCGGAAGTTCTTATGCCATAGCATGAAAATGTTCCTTACACAATGTCGATGTTTAGCTTTTGGTAGGACTTTAGCAACTGCATTCAAAATAGCCTTGGAAACAAAACACCACAAATTAAAGAAAGCTTAAAGCCTTAAAGTTAATGAAAAAAAAAGAAAAGAAGTATGCTTAATGTACAGAATTTAACTAACTAAAGCAATGTCAATGTTAAGCAACATAACAATACCTGATGCTCATCAGTAATCATGGCCAGCCTATCCCATCTCCAATTTCTAAACATTGTTGCAAGTTGGTGAATAATCATTCCCAAGATAGGTTGTTCTCAGCTTCTACAGCAGACCAAGCTACTTGGTACATTTGCTCATTGGGATCTGTGCTCACTGCAGACAGAAGCTCTCAACCAAGGAAAGTTTTGATGAAACAAGCATCCACAGACAACACCCTTCTACATGCCTCCTTCCATCCTAGAACCAAGTCTTCATAGCAAGTGAAGAGCCTCTGGAAATAGGAGCTCGGTCTGGCTTACTGACAACAGTCACCAATTCAAGCTTTGTACCCGGACTTGCTATCTTTAAAGCCTCCAAATAACTTCCTAACTTCTTATAATGATCCTTCATTAATCCATGGAGCATTCTATGGGCATAATATTTGACTTTGTATGCAAATGCTTTCCCTACAATAACTTTAAAAGATCTTCTTATTATCTCTTGTATTTCCTTGGCTGGCCAATGAGGCCTTGATTTGAACACTTCTGACAGTTTCTTTGCTACGTAAGATGACTTAAGTTGCCTGTTTTTCTTCATGTTTCTATGGCATGTGTGTTTCTCATCAACCTTTTCACTATAAATGTACCCAATCTTGAATGCTAAGCAGTACAAATAAAATGAGCACCCCTCAACACACCTTACTCCTAGTTGCTATCTTCTATTTTTGTTACTGACCACAAAGCTCACATCTCTCCCTTGTACAATAGCATATTTTGCAACAACATCTTTAAAGTCTCCACTGGTAGCAAATCATTGCCCTACTTTCCACATAAAATTTGTGAAATTTGCAACAGGATTCACCAGAACACCCTTCCTTCTCCTACCAACATTTGCATCTTCTTCACCACTTTCAGGTGTGTCAATGCTCCTCACTACTTGGATACTCACTGACATAACCAGATGCACTAGCTTCATTCACAGTAGACACCTCTTCTAAATTGTGTTCATCATTAGTACTCTTAATCTTAGATGCCTCTCTAAACAACCTGTTGAGCTATCTCCTTTAACCTATCATTACAAGATCTTACTTTTGCCTTTGCTGTCTTATATTCTTCATCACTTGGGTCTGACTCACTACCTACACCCTCATCATCAACTATGACATCATCATCACTACACAGCTCATCAAGATCTTGCTCAGCATCATCCTCATAGTTTTGACTGAGTTGGAATCAACAAGGGGTTTTTTTTCTTGGACTAGATCTAGTTGGGAGTAATAATACATGTGGTCCCCTCTTGGGTGTTAGTTTTTTAATGGGTGGTAAAGACTGGGAGGGTGATAACATGTGTCATATTTTAGGTTCATCTTCCTTCCTAAAGGCTCAAGCTCTAGTTCTACTTCATTGTGCAAACACATACACATCTATAGATCAGACCTACATTTTTTAGCTAACTCTGCCATTTCAAGAACCTCTGTATCACCAGCAGCTTTCCTTAACCCATTTGCTAAACTCAACCCAGGCACCAAGTAAAAAATCCCACTATTTATGCCATATTGCCCACAGTTCTTTGCTAAATCAATTAAATCAAAATAACAAAGCTCATCAGGATCAAGCTCACGAGTCTTCCCTTTGCCTCCCATATAAACTAATTCCCCATAATTTGTAGCATGTTTAAAACCCCCCACCATGCCAAAATAGAATAGACACTGTCAAATGCACCTATTTACCTCACCTATAATTGACAGAAAACACATACAATTAAGCCAAATTACATTACATTTATCAAACTATGTCATCTTAAATAAGACACAATCAATCAATTGCTTAAAACAAGGTCGCAAACTAGCCAAATTGCAGAAATTTAATGAAAATCAAAACTACTTATGTGCTAAATTAACTACAACATTTAACGTGAAATATTCAAAAAACCCCTAGTTTTAACAAATTTTTTAATCTTTCCCAGTTCATCACCATTGTCAACAATATTTACCCAAAGTACAGACTAGGGTTCAGAATCAAACCTGAAATTGAGCAATCGGGATATTAAATTCTGTACTTCCTGTTTATGAAAACGCGTCTCCTTCTTCTTTTGAAAAGGACCTTCTTTTCCTCCTTTCTACAAGCAACTTCATAAAATTATGGATTAAGCTCAACTATGGAGTAATGGCGGGTGACAAAGCGAGGAGGGGGTAGTTGAGGGAATTAAATGTTTGGGAGGAAAATGAATTGACTTTCCAACTTAATGACCTCCTTTTTTTTAAGCCGGTTATCAGTAATATGACACAGCGAAATTAAACACTAAGTAATAGGGCTGAGCAAAACTACCAAAAATCGAAAATCCAAAAAACCGATCCGTAACCGTTTCAAAAATTAGGATACCTGATCCGATAACCATAACGGTTTGGGTACCCATTCTGATAATTTGTTATCGGGTATGGTTATGAGTATCATTTTAAAATTAACGGTTACCCGATCCGATCCGATAAGCATTTTTTTTGCTTTTTTTCTCTACTTAAATTTATTAATATAAATCTAAACTTTTACTTTATTTCATAATCACATTATAATATCAATGATTAGTAATATTACTAATATTTTGATCAAGATCATATGGTATTGTTTTTAATTAGTTGTAAATTATATCATAATAACTACATAATTAAGTTTAATTATCATTATTGGATATCTTATTGGGTATCCGATAACCGATTCGAAAATTCGGGTACCCGAACTTATCGGTTCCGGTTATGGGTATCACTTTTAGTGATTTTGGTTATCGAGTACCCGAACCGTTAGTACTAACGGTATGGGTACCCGTCCAATGCTCACTCCTACTAAGTAAAGGTTAACTTATTCTTAGTTAATTAAAAGGCTGAATTATTTTGAGCGAATAGGCAAAGGTTGGTTTATTTTTGAAAAATTTTCCTAGAAAAATTGAACATTTTACAAAAAAAATGAACATTTAGTAAGAAATATGAACACGTCACAAAAACTGAACATAAACATGCAATATTTATGTTCATATTTTATTAAGAAATGTTAGTATATAGTATATGTTCAGTTTATATACAAAAATATTGAATGAATTATTACGAGTCAGACACACTTTTTTCAAAATTTGTCTAACTCGTAAAAATTCAAAATTTGTGATTTTTCAGATTTTTTTACTAAATGTTCAAAATTTATTATTGTTCATATTTTTTTACTAAATGTTCAAAAGTATTGGCATGGTGCATTGCGATTGTTCTTTTTTTTTTTTACTAAATGTTTAAATTTTGCAATGTTCAGATTTTTAATTAAATGTTCAAAATTCGCGATTGTTCAGATATTTTTACTAAAAGTTCAAAAGTATAGGCGTGATGCATTGCGACTGTTCAGATTTTTTAACTAAATGTTCAAAATTTGCGATGTTTAGATGTATTTACGTACTACGTGTTTAAAATTTGCAAATGTTCAGTATTTTTTTTTACTAAATGTTCAAAAGTATAGGCGTGGTGCACCTATATCTAGGTTCACCATGGTGTAACTTAAAATTTGCTATATTGAACTTAAATTAATTTAACCAACTAAAACTTATTTGTATTGAAACTCTATTATATTTGTTATTTAAAGTCATTGATTTTTATTAAAAAAAAATATTTTTTCTAAATTTAAATTATTTATATTGAACTCAATTTTTTTTTAGTTAGTTTTTAAGGTGAAGAGAAGAGGGCTTTAATATTAGTTAAGCTAAGGGCATATAAAGAAACCTTAATTATATGTATATATATATATATATATACATATATATATATATATACATATATATATATACATATATACATATATATATATATATATAAACTACTAACTAGATTGTACTTGTGCAAATCAAAGTGATAATTGTATTTTCGAGGAGTTGCATATTACGAAGTATGGAGTATATTAATTTGATAAAATTGAAAAGATAATACTTTCTTCGTCCCATTATTAGAAGCCTATTCATAATACGGAGTATTTATTACCCATATAATAAAGAGAAATAGACTTTTAATTTAGGAATGAGGGAGTATAAACTTTATAATGACATGGTACATGCAACTTTTCAAATTATTATTACTTGCTTGATATTTTTTATATTCAAATTAATATATATACTCAAGCTAATGGTTAGAGGTTCAAGAACATGTTTTATAATCTATCACGTCACCACAACATGGGTCGTCCTCATACCATGTGCTTAATATTCCACTTTGAAAAGAGGGGTGGATGAGATTTGATGTCGTGACCTTTGTGTCACGTTGACCCTAATACCATGTTAAATAATCAATTCAACCAAAAGCTTATGCTAATGGTGGAGGCTCAGGAATATGTTTTATACTCTACCATTTTCTAAAGGCTAATTAATTGACGGGATTGAATAAGAGAATTATATATCAAAATTAATAAGAGTATTGGTAAGTTTAAAATAGTCTAATTAATTAGAGTTAATAAGTTCATTAATTAGGTACCTATAACATAGATTATTGGAAAATTTGCCAAAATTAACACCACCTTTGGGCGGTCTTCCCATAATAGCACCACCTTTTGATTATTCCTGAATAGCACCACCTTTCACATGTATTTGCCAAAAATGAAACAAAACCGGTTGGTAACCTGTAAAACAGGTTACTTGTGCACGTGTACAATGTCAATGGTCAATTTTATTTATTTAATTTTTTTTAAAACCTAAGTAATTAAAAAAAAGTACAAATTGAAAAAAAAAAAAAAGAACCCACCACCAAGCTGGCTAGCCTCCCCTGCCAGCCTTTCGCTGCCCAGCCCCCACCCCGTACCCACCCTCGTCGCCGCCCTTCCCCCTCCCCTAAACGACATCCCCTCCACCCATTCCCCCGCCTTAAACAACCCACCACCTATTCCCCGGCCTAAACACCCCTCCACCCATTGCATTCCCCCGCCCTAATCACCCCTCCACCCATTCCCTGTTCCCTTATCCATTTCTGGTGCCCCCTTCCCTTCCCCATTTTCGATGCCCCTCCCTTTCCCTTCCCAATTTCCGGCCCCTACCACCTATCACCTTTCCCCAAAACCATAACCAGTCGAAAATGTTGGTTGTGTAAAGGGAAAAGGCTCGAAATTGGGGACGATGAAGGGAGGGGGATTGAATCTGCTACGGGGAGGAGAGGTGGGGGCTGAAATCGGGAACAGGGAAGGGAGGAGCCCGAAATCAAGGTGGTGGTTCTCAGTGAAAGGGGGTTTTAAATTTTTTTGGTTTTAGGTGATTGGTCTTGGTTAGGGTGGTGGATGCCGGTGAAAGGGGGTGGGCAAGGGGGCCGGGAAAGTGGGAAGGGGGATTTAATTTTTTTTTTTTAAAAAGTTTTTCCAAAATTAAAAATAAAAATAAATAAATTAACCAATCAAATTAGAACACGTGTCCCAAGGTTACCTGAAAAAAAAGTTACCGGTTTTTTGTTTCATTTTTGGCAAATACATGTGGAAGGTGGTGTTATTCTGGAATAATCAAAAGGTGGTGCTATTATGGAAAGACCGCCCAAAAATGGTGTTATTTTTGGCAAATTTTCCTAGAGACACACCTATTTCTACTATACATTATTAATACTGGCCACATTCACTATACTTTTTCACATGTTTTCACATGTTTTCACATGATCATTAGCTTATTATTAGAATCTTAATCTCAAACTTTAGCACATGTACGAGGAAAATTTATAAGACATCCCTAATTTAAGGGCGTCAAAATGTGTATTAATTACTCAAATTGAGAAATCATTATGCAATATGTGCCCCTCAAAGCCAACAAATAATCATACTAGTCTAAAGTCTTAGACAATAAAGTAGAAGTCACTTGCAAATTAATGATTATATACCCAACAAAATAAAACAAAAGATCATTAATATCATTTAATTAATTTGTCTTGTATGTTTATTATTATTATTATTATTATTATTATTATTATTATTATTATTATTATTATTATTATTTTCTGTTCGGTATCTTTTCTTGCTAAAATATGTTTTGCATGATGTTAACAGTTACTCGCCGACTAAAATGCGCAGTCCAACTTAAGAAATTGAGGCAAAAGCAAAATAACTAAGTTTTGTTCTTTAATTAATTAATATTATCTGATGTTTCCATTGTTAAGTGTGATTACTTTACAAAATGAATTCCTACTATGCATTTATTTCAGATTAAATGCATTAAAGATGTTCCCTTCATAACAAACTTTGCGAGTATCGCGACATCAATTCTTGGCGCCTGCTCCAATACAAGGGAGACGCTACTCGGGTCGCCAGTCCTACGGCCTTCGCGGTCTGCTGCACGCGGATGCACTTTTGTCTAAAGGGTGCAACTGGAAAGTCGGGAACGGTAAATCCATTCTTGCAGGCAGCTCAAATTGGGTTAACGGCACCACGCCAAAATTCCAGCCGGGGATTCTCCTAGACACTGCTAAGGATTGGACAGTTCATTTCTTCATTCATCCACAAACTCTTACTTGGGATGCGGATAAAGTACAACAGAGTTTTCAACCCGAGGATGCTTCCACAATCCTAGCTATGGAATCCCCCGCGTTACAGAAGGAAGACTTCCGATTTTGGGCTAGTACTACCTCGGGGAGTTATACGGTAAAGACAGGTTATGCAATGCTCATTCACCCTCCTCTTCCCCATTTACTTAGCCCGATTTGGAAAATACTTTGGTCCTTGCATTTACAGCCAAAGTGGAAATTATTCTTATGGAAATTACTCCATAACGGTTTAGCGGTCAAAGGTGAGCTTCAATGTAGGGGGGTTCCTTTACAGGATGGGGCATGTGATCAATGTAGTTCGCAGCTAGAAGATTTAAATCATCTGTTTGGGTATTGCACTATTGCACGAACAGCTTGGAGGGGTGGCGCGTCGGGTATCCACTTAGATTTATATGGACACCTTTCTCTATCAGATTGGATCCAAGATTATATCCGACTTTTCATTAGTCAGGACGGTATTTTCAACCCCAGTATAAGCTCATTCATTGGTACTTTGTGGGGTCTCTAGTTATTCAGGAATAACAGGGTTTTCAGTCCTGGCACATCTATTGCAACACCAATTGGATTGCAACTTTTGGAAATCCTACACTCTCATACTATCTATATGGATGATGACACAGGTACAGAGCGTTCCCCCTCCCATACTAATCTCCCTAGTTTCCCCCCCCCCGGTTTCATGTAGCCCATTTAGGCCTACAACACACAGGCTCGTGCTTGGTTACGATTCAGGTTGATGGCTCTTGGTTCAAAGA